TTTTTCCTCTCCAAACTCAGTGTTGTTGATCTACCATGAGTTTGAGGGGGGGTATTAGATGTGTATAGTTCATTGTGTACATCCCCATTGTATAAGGGGCTTTTCTGCACTTTGCCACACTTGTATATGTACTGGCCTTTGGCCCTCAGTAAAGAGTTAGTTGCTCACTTATCCAACACATACCAGATGCATCTGCAGACCCTTTCATTGCTTTGTCATCCCTCTCTGGATCTTTTAATCCACCCATATCCATGTAATAATCTAGCATGTGTTGTAATAATTGGACAAAAATATCTTCTCTGCTGTTGTTAGTCCCTCTGTAAAGAAATATAAGAGCATTTAGATCACTAGTTACGGAGGGAGTATTATTCATCGTATCGTTTTTGTTCTCTTGACGAATCAGTGTTTAACCAAAAAAAGAGAGACACACATAAGATCGATGTACACTATACACATAAGATCGATGTACTCTATACTGTCTGTGAGGCCTTTGCAATTGGAGATTTCACTGATGCTTTCCGGTTGCCATCCACGCAACATAAGCAATTTCCAAGTTAAGTTTGCTAAGCATCGAATGCTTACTGAATCCTCCTAAGGCACCCAGTCTCTGCACAGATGTCGAGCAGCTGCTACCACTCAGAGAGAAAAAACATTAAGTTTCAAATCTTTCTGGTTTCAAACGATGGACCGTCTTGACTGGCATTAGAGATATGCTTTTCAGAAGGCATTTCTTCTTAATAGACGACTGAAAGGATAAAACATAAAAAAGACAGCACAGCTCTGCCTGTCAACTCAAGAACAATTGGGAGTTGTCTCTCGCCCATACCCAAAGCCCTCCTCCTTATCTTGCTGATAAGCAGCAACTGCTTTGTTAGTTATCACTTGCTTGCCGCTTTGTTGCTGCATGAATATGGGCGCCTTCCTTCCATGCTCCAGGAGCTGTTTTGCATCGCTGCTCTTGCTCCTAATCTTCGCCGCACATCCATCTTCCCAAGCCTCCAACACGACCGCTCAAGCCTCCAACGCGACCGCGGAACTGTCCACTGTTTGGAGCACCGACGGTTCGTATATGCTCTTCCATTCCGGCCAGGAGTACTTGTTTGCTGCAACGTTCTACTCCTACTTCCACGAGTACTTCTTTGCAATATGCGTCAATGGTGTGGTCGTATGGTCCGCCAACCGTGACCGCCCAGTCCAGCGCGGTTCCACCCTCAACTTCACCGTCGCCGGGGACTTGGTTCTTCGGGATTCTGATGGCAGCCTCGTCTGGTCCACCAACAGCTCCGGCCAATCTGTCATCGGAATGAAAATCACAAAGTCTGGCAATCTGGTTCTCTTCAACCAAAAGAACTCACCAGTCTGGCAGTCGTTCGATCACCCAACTGATGCTATGCTTCCCCGGCAGCCATTAATGGAAGGGGTGAAGCTGACGCCCAGCATTGACAACGCCAGCTTCGCTACCAGCAATCAGTTCTATCTAGCAGCTCATCATGCTGGTCTGCAAGCATCTGAAGGGTCAACACACCAGATCTACTACCAAAGCTCAGTATACTATGCAGGCGACGCTGATTAAAATGATTGGGTTCTGTGCGGACAAAACAAACAGGCTCTTGGTTTACGAGTACATGTCTGGAGGGTCACTGGACAAGTGGATCTATTCCAACAGATCTGGTAGCAATGCCCCTCTTGATTGGTGCGTAAGGCGTAGGATCATCACAGATATTGCCAGGGGCTTATGCTACCTTCACGAAGGGTGCAAGCAGCGAATTGCTCATCTAGATATTAAACCACAGAACATCCTCTTAGATGATAACTTCAATGCTAAAGTTGCAGACTTTGGGCTATCCAAGCTGATAGATAGGGAAGAGAGTCGTGTGGTGACACGAATGAGAGGAACACCTGGATACATGGCACCCGAATGGCTGACATCGAAAATCACCGAGAAGGTCGATGTTTACAGTTTTGGCATTGTGGTCATGGAAATCTTAAGTGGAAGAAAGAACATCGACTACTCTCAGCCCGATGAGGGTGCTCAGCTCATTATGGTACTACGAGAGAAGGCTATGAATTCTCAACTGGAAGATATGATCGATAGGAGCAGCCAAGATATGCACTTATGCAACAAGGAGGAAGTGATTGAGATCATGAGGCTTGCAATGTGGTGTTTGCAGAGTGACAGCAACAGAAGGCCTTCCATGTCAGTGGTGGTGAAGGTCATGGAAGGAAAAAGAAATGTGGAATCAGACTTAAACTACAACTTCTTCGATCTAAGCCCTGCGATCGTTGTGCCAGTTGGTCAACCCAACTTCTCCGCCCTGCCAAATGCATCAGTGCTCTCTGCCCCCAGGTGAAATCAGACAGAGAAACCTGTCATACCATAATTTGTTTGTGTCATCTTCTGTTTGTGTTATGAGAACTAATTATTTTGAATGAGCATATATATACATATATGTTTCAAGTATAGCAGCATTGCACCACAGAAATGTAACAGAGAGATCAATGTACTAAATTCTTCGTCGTGACAATGATGTATTGAGCAGAGAAACCTTCAAATATTTTTATCAGTAAATAAAGATATATTGAGCCGTAATTTGTTTGCAAATGCACAGACTATCAATGGGTATGCAAAAGGCATGAGAATGCTTTCAGAGAACTTGTATGAATAGCGTGTAATTGTAGAACTTCAGAAAATGTGGTCTTCTGTCACTCCCTACACCCTATGCTGGCTCATCTCCTTGACTAGCATAGTTCCTTCGATGTGGCATGGTTCGCTCCTCGCCTCCTCAATCCTAGTACGTGGCACTGTGGCAGCAGAAGCAAATCGTGGTCTGTGTTTGCGGGGCTGAGATGATGACTTTCTGACAGGTTTACAACTTAATGCATACTACTAAAAGATTTAAATGACTAAACGAACGAATGAGTGATTGTATGCATGTTCGAATTGGTGAATGGCGAATTTTTGAAGCTGTGACTGATAACCGCATTTGTGTTTGTGAGTAATTCATCATGAATGTGGTTGCCATTTCTTGCTTCTAAAGTCTAAACCACACAAGTCTAGAAAATTTATTCACTATTCTGTCGCTGTAATGAAGAATTTCCATAATTCGAATCGGCTATCATGGCCTTTATGCTGACACTGAAGAGGAACAATAACATGTTTGCCCTGACCCTGCATCACCGGGAGTCATGGCTAATTTATACTACTCCCTCTAATCCATATTACTTGTGTTGGTTTTGTTAAAAATTTGGGCCACATTAACATCACCGAGAGCATTGGCATCTGAGAGAGGTCGGTTGCCGGCCAAATTCCCCACCGCGGTTGCCTACCACACGGCCTGACCAAGCCCAACTCCTCGCACCAACCACGGCGCCAGCGAACAAGAACTGAATGGATGCAGAGCAGAGGAACTGACGGAGGTGGATTACCAGATGCGGCGACGGGGCGGCCGCTGTGGGGTCTCGGCCTGGCGACGCGTCCACGGTAGGAGAAGCTGTGGAGGAAAACTACGCCCTCGGCAGCACCAGCTACCGCCGCTCCGTTCCATGGTTTCCGCTCTCGCTCGCTCGCCGGAGACCTTCGCCGGCGCATCCCCCCTCGTTCTTTTTCTCTCTCCTTTTTCGTTCTGCCCTTATCTGGGCTGGGCCATGTATGCGTTCGGCCTTATCTGCGTTGACCCAGCAGTAACTGGAGTTTGTCTAAAAAAGAAAAAAAAAAATATCAGCACATCACATGGATGGGGGCAGCTGCCCAGCCCTTGTTAAAGCCTTTTAAGTTTTTATCGAAAACCTGAAAAGAAAAAAATACTACTCCCTCCGTCCAAAAATCGGGCCTTCTTCTTAGTTTGTAGGAATTTTGTAGGAAAATCTTCTTTGAAGCCCTTCAGTTTGTAGGAATTGATTTCTATTTTCATGTAGGATAAGAACCAATCCTTCAAATTTCATTATTTTTGTCTTTTAGCTCGAGTGAAACATATTTCATCATGAAAATTTACAAGAATAATGCATTTCACGATGTGTGTGTGTATTTTATTTTATTTTGCATTTTTTAAATATGTTTTCTTCAAATTTCACGCTCCTCGATCCCAAGAGGAAAAAAAATCCTCATTGAAGAGTATTCATTATCCCTCCACTATTTATGTAAGTCAATGCAGTGTTTTACACCTGAAGACTTTTTTTACTGCATCCTATTGGCATTTTCCGTTGAACAAAATAAATTTTTTTTGAGGTGTTTATTGAACAAAATAAATACCACAAGGTTTTTTGGCCTTAAATACAAGAAGGCATTTCGCAAAAAAAATATTTTAAAAAATGGTATACGTGAAGCTGGGCAAGGCCCAAGAAGCAAAACCGCGATGGTTTCATGAAGAGGAAGAGGAAGAAATCTTCAGAGGGTATCCCTCAAAAGGAAAAAGAAAAAAAAACAATTGTTGGTGTATTTAATTTGGAAAGCTGGAGCGCAACAACCAATTGTTTCTTTGTAGGCACGTGCATGGTCAGTGATTATTATTTTGCTTTTTTTGAAAAGGAGGTCATCCCCCGTCCCCGGCCTCTGCATCGGATAGATGCATGCGGCCACTAATGAGAAGTGTGTCGTCGACAAAGTGTCACGGTGGTAACGATCCATACCGTTACGCTGAGCGGAAACAGTTCTCAGAGAGATGTGGTTGAGACTTGAGAGAGCCTGGGAGGAAGAATGTGCTAGAGAGAGCCTGGGAGGAAGAACAGGGGAGGAGCTGGAGGTTTCAGGGGGATAACAAAAGTCTTCCTTCCTGGAAGCAAGCAGAAGCACACTGATTCAAACTATGTAAGGTCAGCTTGCATTCATTTCGATTAATTTTAGCAACATTGACATTGCTGCTGCTGCTGCTGCTGCTGTGAACTATGCTACTCAAGATCAGATTCAGTAACTTGCAGCAAATCGCGTATGCAAGCGAGTATATTCAGGCGGCGGATCAGGACAGGAGCAACGCCCTTCCATTTCATTTCATTGTGCCGGCCGGCTAATGGTTACAGGGTCTCCATAAAACAGAAGGGGAACATGGCAATCTGAAACAGAATACAAGCTGCTGGCTGCTGGCTGCTGGTCATCACATATCCATCTGGGCTAGCGGTAGAAAGGATCCCCAGACATATATGTGTAGTACATAGATACAGGATACTCGCTCTTCGACTACGACAGATTACTTACTTCTAACACCTTCCAGCCGACGACAATGCATACATTAGCTAAGGGAGGAAGCTCTTCACCAGCTTACCCTGCATACATTAGCTAGCGCACCGTCCATTACTGCAGTTGCCTTGACATATATGTGTATAGCACATACAGGAGGCTACTCGCTCTTCGACTATAGATCACTTCTAACACCTCCAATTGGTCGACAAATACTAGATAGCCAAGGGAGGAAACTCTTCAACTTATCAGTTACTCTAGTTGTCTTGACAGCGTGCTGCGCCATGACAGGACGCTGTTGGCCTCTCTCAGGCTCCTCGCCCTCCTGAACTCGACCTCCGCATCCGAGCACGCCTGCCCAGCCGGGGCTTTCTTCCTCACCTCTATGGGTTTCAGCGATATCTCGTCCCGAGTCATCCTGAAAGGATGGCAGTCTTTCGCTGCCGACGTGTCGTCCTCGGACAGATACCCCCCTTTTGTTCCTGCGGTAAGAAAGTAAAGGAGCATGGTCAGTAGGATTGCAGAAACATCAACATAACAACAGCATCTGAGTTCAGGTTATGAGGTCAGTGATTACATAGTTGAAGTTACTGGATAATTATACATTATTTTGAGTGAAGAAAACCAACACATGTTGATGATTCTGGAGTACAAAGATCAGTACTATAACAAAATGAATGATTGGGGTGGGATTTCAGGGAATTCACCTTTGAACATATCGAGGTGCACTGCCTTATGTGGAAGCTGGTCTGCTGCCTTCTTTGAGGGGCTTGTCATCATCTCTTTTGCATTGGAGAGTGATCTACCCATCTTACCCACCTTCTGAACCTCATGATTAGGCAGAGGATCATTGAACAGGCACACCTTCTCTGTGTTATTAGCAGGGGCAGTGTTTCCAAATGGAGATATGCTGAATCCCTCATCAAGCGCGGCATCTGGTGCTTCTGCGTAACGTTGAGTGCTTGTAACCATCTCATCGGCACTGAATCCAAATGATGCTCGGTACGCTTCAACCTCATCAGCATCTTGTTGCTTATCCCTCGAGACGCTGAGCCTGCCACCATTATAAGCCTGATCCAGGTAGAACTGAGCAGATGCAGCCGGGCGGAAGAAGTTGCTATCTAGCAGGGAGTTTCTTGTGGCAGCAGAATCAAGCCCGAAGATGTTCGACGGCGATGTCCTGGAGTACGGCGTGTCACAGGCAGACCTGGAGGTCTTCTTCCAGTGTGCAGTAGGGACCTCTTGCTCGGGTATGGGCGAAGCGATGGAGTACGGCGTGTCGCAGGCAGACCTGGACGTCTTCCAGTGAGCAGCAGTAGGAACATTTTGCTCAGGGATAGGCGAGGAGAGGCCGGTCCTCGGAGTCACCGAGGCAGGCGAGATGAGGCTGCTGGAAGGGCTCCCTGGCTGGTAAAGTGGATAAGGCCCCTGGAGCCCTGAACCACCAGAGTAGTAATGCATGTTGTGCTCCTTGCCTGCAGTTTTAAGACCCATAGACGACGAAAGGAACCGAGCGTACGGGACATCTGGAGAGGATGGAGTGGTGGCATGAGCTAGTTCAGGAGGAGGGGTCAGTGGTGCTGTGGATGGCTCGGTTGTGTAGGTCGAAAAGGCTGCCGGAGGCGAGACGAGCTGAGGCTCATTGGCATATGGTCCAACAGCAAACATGTTAGATGTTGGTCCACCAGGAGAATTTGCAGAGATTGACAGGAAGCAGTTAGGTGACTGGGCAGTCGAAGGAAGTGCAGAGTTGGAGAAGGATGCCGGGGATGACGGTGGCGCGAGAAGGGACAGATTCATAGCCCCATTCTGGTTGGGATTGCCACCAGACTGAGCGTTTCCACGGTTAGTCGATGCGTTCCCGTCGGGCATACGTGCTGCAGGAACTATACGCTTTCCGCCCTTCTGCGCCCCGAAGCATGACAAGCCAGAGAAACAGCCAGCCCATATACTCTGCTGTTAAGAACAGTGAAACATGTATTAGTAGTGCGAGTACATGGATTTGACTAAACAAAACAAAAACTGCGCTGCTAGTTATTGATAGGTAAAGAAAGATGCACAAAATTGACTGCGCAGAAGAACAAAGAACTAGTTTAGAGTTCAAAGAAAGGACAATGTAATGTACTAGCTCAGCCAAACTTCCAATGTAATTGAACATGACTACTGACTTCTTTACAGAAAGGAAACTTCATTCCTTGATTATTAATCATGCGAAGGAAAATTGGACCAAACTTCATAAGCATAACGAGAGGATGTCGCACATATAGCATAAAAACTGTTGTATCAGTCATCAAAGCATGCACCACAGAGTTTGTGCTTACTTTGGCCCTTAGCCTCAACCCTCTGACAAAATGTGAACAGAAGCCCAAATCCACCAGTCAGTCACATACATGTAAATCTACAATATCCATGGAGTGGGAGAAAAACATACTACAGATGATGCTGTGGCATTGCAAAATTACTGACTGAACGAGTGCAAAACGCATGCATTTCAACTAGCTTAGAGCTGAACGGACAATGTACTAGCTCGGTCAGTCAAAGATGAAATTGCACATGACTACCGACCTCTGTGAATATAAGGGGAAAAGATCCGTCAGTTAGTTATATACTTATATGTCAACAATGCCCATGGATAATGGGGAGAGGTACACACTCCAAATGATGCTGTCTCTGCAAAATTAGTGGCTGACCGTGTGCAAAATGCATGCAATTCAACATGGACTGACAGAAAAATTACTGTCATATCAGCAGGGAGCAATCAGTGGAGTAGTACAAAGTAAAGCACAATTAAAGGTGATTCAGTTGCATCAGCTAGTGGCCAGTACAGTTGGTACGCGGTGGACTGGATGAGCTCATCAGTCCTGTCAAATTTCGGCAGGTACCCTGTACACATCAGCCTCTAAAGCAAGCGAGCGAGCCACTGCGCGCGCAAGAAAATCAGACCACATCACATGTAAGCGTGCGCGCATATACCTTGTCCTGCTGCGGCTGCTGCTGCTGGGATCTGCTGCCGCCACCGCCATTACTGCTTCCCGGCGCCGCCATTTTTTGTGTGGAAAAACTGCGCCGAAGCCCAATGCGGTGCCGCAGCTAGCCTCCTCGCGGTCCGCCTGGGCTCGGACGGACAGATCGAGCTCCGCCGGCCGCCGCCTCCCGGGCCCGATCTCCGGCCGCCAGATTCGGGGGATGGAAATGGCGGATTCGGCGACGGGGACGGGGACGGGTCCCTCGTGGG